GAGGAATTAAAAAATTCATTTTTCTTCTCTGCTTCGGCAGTCTCCGTAAGGCCACCAGCACCAACAGTTACTGTTTAATAACAATAATAAACACACACACGCGTATATACAAAAAAAAAGACGGCGCCAGTGAAGTTTTACCGAAAATTTTTGTCGAATTTTTTTTCGTTTGGTCTTTTTTTTATTATTATTATTATTCCTCATCTTCTTACGTGATGCCTTCGCTGGCTTGTTGCTGGGCGGGCGGGGGGGGGGAGTGCGGCAATGGCGATAGCGGCGGAGCGCAACGCCCCCTGCCTCCCCCCGCCCAATCACTGCGGCCCCCCAAAGAAGTATACATACACATATATATATATATACATACATTATACATACACACACATACATGCATATATATATATATATATATTATCATTGCTGCCTTGTTTCTTTCGGCGTGGGCGCGTGAGAAGGCTGTTGGCCTCACAGTCCCTCTGCCTCCGTGTTTGGCGGCGGCCGCCCCCACTGGGGCGCTGCGTGCCCCGCTGCCCGCCACACGCAGGGGACCACGTGCAGCTCCCCTCCTCCAGCGACACGCACATGCGTGCCATTCACCGCGGCACCCGTCATGTGCACATTGGCCTCAGTCGAGCAGGCGCGCCCACCGCCCGCACACGTGTCGTGGGCGCACTGAGGGAAGAAAAAAGAAAACAAAACAAGTTACACGCACGCCACCGATCAAAAATCAAAACAAAAACAAACAGCGTGCCTCCGCCCCACCCCAACTCACCCCCAGCGGAGTGGCTGCTACCGCCGCCTTTTGTACCTCTCCTTCCTCCCGTGGTGTGTGCCCATACTCGTCGCGCTGCCGTTGACGGATGCAAACGACATGCGCAGCTGCTCCTCGGCGATGCTCTCCACGTCTCTGTCGTCCTCGTTCGAGACGGCGAAGAGCCGGTACTCCTGCTCCACGTCGTCCGACGGCCCCACGGACACCGGCTTCCTCGGGAAGAAGCAGTTCTTCAGGACCTTGTACAGCTCACACACAGCCATGAAAAACACCAGAAGCACGCCGATGACGGCCCAGTGCCACGTCAGCATGTCGTGCACGAAGAGGTTGTGCGCTATGGGGTTGATGTACACGATGGGGAAGAAAAGAGCAACGGCGACAGCCACGGAGCCGTAAATCCAAACATTGTCGAACCACTTCATCAAAAAGACGGACTGTCGCGTGTGGCGGACGGTGTACGCGTGCAGCAATAACCCAAAGTACAGGATTCCAAAGGCCGTGGCACGCGCGCGCCAAATCTCATGGCAGTTGACCCCGTTTTGCGAGTTGCAGTCGGTGCCGGCCGGGCCGTCGTGTACGCCGTAGACAATAAAGACAAACCCGCACAGTGAGCAGACGCCGAGCCAAAACCCGTACACCACCGTGTCAGCGACGAGCTCAAAGGTGAAAAGACCAGCCGTGTTCGGAGGCACAAGGAGCACGTCGGCACTTGCGGCGTCCAACGACAGTCCCGTTGCGGGAGGGCCGGAGGTGAACATATTTAGCCACAAAATCTCAATGGGCGAGAGCACAAACAAAGAAACCCCTTCATTGCGGATGGGAAGACCGCAGATGAGTGCAATCACCTCAGCAACGTTGCTGGAAAGAAGGTGCACCACAAATTTCCGTATGTTCTGTGAAATGCGCCGGCCCTCCGTCACTGCCTTTACAATAGTAGCAAAATTGTCGTCCGTGATAATAATATCCGCAACACCCTTCGTGACATCCGTGCCAGACCCCATTGCACAGCCAATGTCTGCGATTTTAATGCTTGGCGAATCGTTGAAGCCGTCGCCGGTCATTGCCACCACCCGCTTGCGCTTGTGCAGGCACTCAATCATCTTCACCTTGGACTCCGGCGAGCACCGTCCAACGACGAGTGGGAGATCCCCCCACTCGTCAATGGTCTCCGTCTCCGTTCGGTCGAAGTCGGGGCCGTTCATCAGCTTCACTCGGTTGTCGAGGTCCGATTTGCCGATGATGTTCAGCATGACGGCGATGCATCCCGCGGTGGTTACGTGATCGCCGGTCAACATGCGCACCACAATCCCGGCGTGCTGACAGGCAATGACGGAGGGGTGCGACTCCGGGCGTGGAGGGTCGTAAATCCCGACAATTCCAAGAAACGAGAGGTCCTGCTCAATCGCCTCCCGGACGTGGGCGAGCAGGAAGGTTCCCTCGCTGGGGAGGGGGAACTGCTCCAGGGTGCACGGCCGCGTGGAGAGACAGATTGTCCGGAGCCCCTCCGACGCCAAATGTTTGATCTGCTTTTCTATCGTCTTACGATCCGCTTCCGTCAAGGCGAGGTGGCTGCCCGACTCCGAGACAATGGTGGAGCAGAGATCAAGAATACGCTCGGGGGCACCTTTTGTGCACAGGTACAGTTGCTCCGTGTTCCCGTTGTACCACGCCGTCGTCATGCGCTTGATTTTGGAGTCGAACGGGTACTCCGCGATGCACTTCCACCCCTCGTTTTCTAGTCGGTCGCGGTGAAGCTCCGCCTTCCACGTCATCACCTGAATCGCCACCTCCGTTGGGTTTCCGGTGCCGCAAAGGTGATCGGCATCCTCCTCGTCAACCTGCAGGACGGTCGTACTGCAAAGCGCCGCGCAGCGCATAAACTCGTAGAGCAGTTTATTGGTCGCGTAGGCCCCCGTCAGGTGGACCTGCTCCTCCTGGTCACCGCGCAGAAAGGCCCCATACCTCTCATATGGGGCTCCCGTAACGAAGAGCTCCTCGTTTGTCCCGATGAGGGCCTTTTTGACCACCATCTTGTTCTCCGTCAGCGTCCCTGTCTTGTCGGAGCAGATGTCCGTCACGTTGCCGAGCACCTCCAGCACCGCCAGCCTGCGCACAATGCACTTCTGCTTCGCCATTCGCTTGACGGAAACCGTCATGGACACCGTGACCACCGCCACCATGGACTCTGGGAGAATGGCGATGGCGACCGCCGTCGCGTACGACAGGGTGCTTGGGTGGTACCTGAACTTGTTCGCGGCGAACACGACGACGGCGAGCAGGATGCAGCAGCCAAAGAGGAAGTACATCATGTAGTCCAGCGTCTTCATAAGCTGCGTCTTCTCCGTGCCTGAGCCTTCCCCGAGGCGCTCCGCGAGCTTCCCCATCTCGGTGTGCACGCCGGCGGCAACCACAACCGCCTTCCCGCGGCCCTGCGTGACCATCGTGTTGCGGTACACCATATTCTTGCGGTCCCCCAACGCACACACGCCGTCCGGGTCGGGGATAGCGTCGGTGTGCTTCACCACCGGCAGCGCCTCGCCCGTGAGGAGCGCCTCATCCACCTCCAACCCGCTGTTCTCCACGAGGCGGCAGTCCGCCGGCACCGAGGCGCCCTGCTCCAAAATGATCACGTCGCCCACGACAACCTCGTCGATAAAAATAACCTCCACCGAGCCATCGCGGAGAACCTTCGCGCTGCCCGCCGTCATTTCCTTCAGGCTGTGAAGCGATTTCTCCGCGCCGTACTCCTGGTAGAACCCCAATAAGGTGTTAAATATCAGAATGAACAGCACCACGCCGAACTCCGGCCAATCCTTGAAGACGGCACTGATCACAATCACAATGGCCAGGACGACAGTGATGCTGTTCATGAATTGCCTGCAAAAAATCCAAAAGGCACTCGGTGCACCGGCAATGCGAATCCTGTTGTTGCCAAGCTCCGCCGCGCGTCTCGAAACGTCGTCGTCAGACACCCCACTGGCCACGTTGTCCAGCTGCACCAACGCAAGCGTGTGCGGTATATCAAAGGTCCACCATCTACACGAAGGGCTGTACGTGTCTGGAACCTGCTCGCGCTTCTCAGTGGGGACGAAGTTGCCGTTAATCGGCTCCCTGGGACTGAGCTCCCTCGAACCAGACATGGCCCTCCCGGTTCCCTAAGTGCACTGAGTGGGATTCCCGCCAGGGAACACACACGTCTTTTTACTGTTTCGTTTTCTTACTTCTTTTTTCCCCCTTTTGTATGTCGCACCCGGATGGGTGCCTTGTCCCTCCTACTCCTACAAATAGAGAGAGAGAAAAAAAACAGGAGTAAGGGAGAGACAACAGCTCGGCCCCGCACGCACCCGACTCTCCCACCCTCCGCGTGGAGGGCAAACATCGGCGGCGGTGCCGGTGGCAGCAATGGGGCTGCGGGGAGGCGGCACGAGCAAAATAAAATAAAAATAAACAAAAAAAAATGCACCCACGCCGCGCCCCATCGGAGGGAGGCAGCGCCGGAGCCAAAAAACAACAACAACAACAACAACAGGCATGTAATACATAAATGAAGCAGGGGGGAGTCTAACAAGATACTCAGAGGTTTGCTTGACCTCTCATCCGGTCGCAGGTTCCTTCTATATGCCTCGACTGCCGCCAAGGAGGCGGGAAGAAGGCGAAGTGGCGGCACTTGGCCGAGGTCTCGCAAGCAAACACCGGGCGCGCCAGTGCAGCCACGGCGGCACACGCACAAGAGGAACGACAACGAGGAAGGGCGGCACAGACCACGACGACGACATCAAGGAAAAATGTCACAGAAGACACACAGGAAGCCAGCGGGTTGAGGGCGGTGGGCTCAGAACGCGGGCTCAAAGCCGTTCCAGTCGATGTCTCCGTCGCGCCAGGGGGGAATCTTGCAGACGGCGTCGTGGAGAAACGAGGGCGCCCGCTCCTTCACTTGCCCCGTGCCAGCCGCGGGGTTGACAGAAACGGTGAGAAACGCCTCGCCTCGAGGAGCTGCAGAGGGCTCGTAGAAAAAAAGGTCCGAGGCGGCGGCCAGTCCCAGCTCCTTCCGCTGCTCGAACTGCGCGCGATCGTCCTTCTTTAGGAAGAGAACCACAAAACGGCCCTTGTGGTGCACAACCCAAACGGGGTGCTGCGGGGTCTTCGCCCCCTCTTCGTCCAACGCGGTGTCGTCGGGACCGCTTGAGACGTAGCCGCAGCTCAGTCGCCCTTTGCTCTCGTCCAGCAACAGGCTTCCCAGCAGGTCCTCGGGGGCGGCGGCGGCGGCGTCTGCCTCCCCAAGCAGCAGCAGCCTCGTCAGGCTCGTCGAGCAGCGCCCTTCACGGTCAATCAACGCCGTGGCGCGCCCCACGGCGGAGGAGACGCGCTTGAGTCCACGCGACAGCAGCACGGAGAGGAGGAAGCAAAAGACGCCTGAGCCCCCGGGCCGCGTCCAGGCCTCCAAGAGGGGCAGAAGAGAGTCCTCAACCTGCTGCCTGGTAGCAAAGTTCCGCCGCACGCGCGACCGCGCCGTGTCCGCCTCGGCAGACGTCATCGTCACCAAGCCATCCACGAGACAAACCCGACGTGGGTTGGGTTGGGCGACGAAAAGCAGCGCTGCAAGGGCCTTCTGAAGACACTGCTGCTGATGCCGCTGAACATCGATGTACCCGCCTCGGAAAAAGTATGCACAAATAAAGGCCTGGACCACGGCCAATACGCCCTCCGGACCTCGATGCTCCTGGAGAAGGCCGTAGTCCACCTCCTCCCCGAATACGAAGCCAAGCTCGACAAGCGATGAGGGAAGCGGATTTCCACCGCATATCAGCTCCATGATTGAGCGGGCAGCCTCTTTACCCAGGGTGGTCCCCGTTTCCTCCGCCACCCACCCACTCTGCCGCACTTGCTCGCCCACTGACTCACTTTCGCTACTAAAGTCGATGTTGCCACCCCTCTCACGACTGCCCCTGCCATTGCCACGGCCACTGTCGTTGTCGCCCTCTCCACTACTGCTTGCACGGCTATTGCGACTACTGCTGTTGCCGCTGCTGCTGCCAGGGCTGCTCGTCGCACGCCGCTGCCCCTTGCTGCCGCCACCTCGTCGTCGTGTCAACCGCTTCTCAACCAACGCATCCTCGGGAGACGGCTTCTCTGACGTCTTTTTTTTCTCCTTCTTGTGCCTTCTCGGCTTCTCAGGCATCTGTGGCACCTCAAGCGAGGCCCGCTGCTTCAGCTCCTCTAGCTCAAGCCGCCGCTGCACGCGCAGGAGGCAGAGCATCTCCATGATCGTCTCAATTCCCTCGCCCTTCAATCTTCGCTGCGTCTCGGGGTCGAGTGCCATCATGTCTGACATAAGCGCCCGTGAGGCGATGGTGTCCGCGTCGCGGGGATGCTCCGTGTCAAACGTCTGCAGCGTCTCGGTGAACTTTCGCTTATGCATGTACTCCCGCAGAAGCGCCTCCGACAAAAGCTCCACCTGCCGCTCGTGGGGCATGCCGTACACAGAAGACGCGGCGACACCTTTCCTTGGCGGCATTGTGGGAAAAATAATAACAATAATAATAATACTAGTAGTAATACTACACGCGCGCGCCCAAGCGCGCCTCACGCCACCCTGCCACTCGCAACAACAGGCAGAAAGGGGTGAAAAGAAAGTTGCAAGGGCAATAACAATAATCCAAAATACACGCATGGCGAGCAGGGGAGAGGAAGTCTGTCTGTCTGTCTGTGTGTGTGTGTGAGTGTTGAAAGAGGAACCGATAAAGGGATATAATTTAGAACGGGAAGCGCGCCGCCCGTGAAGAAGGGTGGCAGCTCAACACACTGCTCACGCACCCGCAGTGCCCACCCCCTGTGCAGAAACTCCTGCGACCCCAACTTCAACGTATGCAAAGAGGTCCGGCTCACTCAGCTTTCCCGCGGCGTAGTCGTCCAGGGCCGCGAGCATGCACCGCGTCACCTCCTCTCCGTCGGCGCACTTCCTGCAGCGCGGTGGGTCCTCGACAAAGACGGTCTTGCAGGCGTTGCAAAAGAAGGGCGGGGTGGTGGTGGCCACGTTGGGAACGGTGTAGTTGCTCGGGAACACACCGCGGCGGCCCCGCAGCGTTCCCTCCCACCACCCGTCATTCCACCTGCGGTGCACCTGGACGACGTCGCCGGCCTCAAACCTCAACTCGTGCCGGTGCCGCGCCTCAAAGGAGTGGGCGGCGCGAACAATGTCGCACGTCACAAAGTTGCTCGGAAAAAGGCGCGGTTCCGTCAGCGACGCAGCCGCAGGGGCAACTTCGCCCGCCGCCTCCTGCCGCCTCCCCACCGCGCGCTCCGCGTCGCTCTCGTTGACGCCAAACCACCACCCGGGCGAGGCGCTGGGGCGCGCCAGTCGGAGACGATCTCCCTTCCGAAAGGACATCTCCGACGCATCTGCAGCTGCGTAGTCGTACAGGCAGAGGGCCCTGTCGCAGAACGTGGGCATCTCCCACCGCCGCAGGTTGGACGTCACAAAGCAGTTGGGGAAAAGGCCGCGGGGCTCCTTCGTCGCCGCGGGTCCGCGCCCCGGCGCCGCCACGAACCCCTCCCAGAAGCCGGAGGTGCTTCCCTTGGCGGTCACCGCGATGACGTCGCCACGCCGGAAACTGATCTCGTCAGGGTCCGCCGCCTCGTAATCCACGAGGGCCACGCACTGCTCCATCACTACACGCCAACGACAAGGAAGAAGAGAGGGACCGAGAGAAAAGGGGCGCTACAAGGCGAGTCTTGCAACCCAACAAACATGCTTCCCTTTTTTCCCTTCCTCGCCGCCGCTGCGGCGGGGGAGAGGGAAAAGGGGGAAGCAGCAGGCGCGAGAGCAAAGGGGAAGGGGAGTGGGTGCGTAGGAATCAAAAGAAGATAAAATCAGCGAAAGAAACAAAAAAAAACGAAGAAAGCGCAGACAGAAGGAGTGAGAGACCCGCACCTTCCCCCCGGCATCCATCCCTTCCTCTTTATTGAGGCACCTTCCGC